TATATATATATTACTATTTATACTGTGTGTGTGTTTTTGTGCAACCAGCCGTTTAGTTGTATCTTACCTACCTATAGTTAAGATTTTCTGTCAGCAGCAGTAGTTAGCCTGTCTGACCCTTTTAGTCCTGTCTAGGTCCTATGTCGATATATTTATAGGGCCTGCCAGAGACACTGATTGACCCACCATAACAAGCACAGAAAATAACTGGACTTATAATGGTCCCCTGATGGATTAACATTCTTGAAGAATTCTCCATCTGTGTGGGAGCTTTCAACTTTGCCATTGTAGATCACTGAAAAGTTAACCCTTTCTTGACAAGACCCCACCCAACACACACACACACACACACACACACACAAATGTGCACCTCTGTGACTGCATGACAATCTGGAAGCATGCTAGAAGACATGAATCTACTCCATTGTGTTGTATTATTGCACTGGTTTGCTTTTTCAGCTGTTATCAGTCATTACTGGGCATTACACATCTCCAGACAGGAAGATGTAGGTAAGAAATCAGAGACATGTGCGAGTCTACTGAAGGAAGTCATTCCAGCGAGGACACAAGGGTAAATCCTGCCAAACCCACTAGTTGCTTGTCTCTAAATACAGTGATGTGACCCAGTAAAGACATACAGTGCTGAGAAATCTGGGCAAACTCACCGGCCCAAGTGGCTCCGTCGGCTAACACAGGGAAGGGGGGGGGGGAGGAGTCTTGTGACGTCACGGACATCAACGTCACCGGACTCCTCCCCCCCCTTCCTTTCGTTAGCCGACGGAGCCACTTGGGGGAGGGGGGAGGAGTCCGGTGTCGTCGATGTCTGTGACGTCACCGGATCTGCGACGGGACTCCCGGAAGCCGGCGGAGAGGTGAGTACCGATCAAACATTTTTTAATCGATCAAAAAAATTAACGATTAATCGAGGAATTGATTGTTAATTTCCGCAGCCCTACAAATTCGATAATTAGGGGGATTTATCAAAACTGGAGCAGACAGAATCAGGAGCAGCTGTGCATGACAACCAATCAGCTTCTATCTTTAATTTTCAAATCTTAACTGAACATACTGAAGAGAGAAGCTGATTGGTTTCCAGATTTTGTCTGCTCCAGTTTTAATAAATTCCCCCCCAATGTGTTCATGGCCTCGGACTTTAGCACAGTTGTAAAGTGTTATAAATGAAAAGTTCACTGCAGGGGTTAAAAATCAGAAGTTTATGGACCCTTTTTTGCTTGTTTTGCCTGCTTTACTTTTTTTGTTGTTACAGACGGATGTGCAGAAGATTCTGCGGAATGCCAGGAAACTTCCAGAGAAAACTCAGACATTCTACAAAGTAAGATGCAGTTCACAATATCTTTAGTTTATGAATCAAGATGAACAAGTGATTAAACATTTCTTTGATTAGTACGATGCTGTGCAAACAAACATGAAAGAGGAAGTGGAAGCAGGAGAATTATGGCGGTTATCTCTTGCCCTTCCATCCTAGTTCTCCCTCTCTCTTGCCCTCTCCCTCTCTCTTGCCCTCTCCCTCTCTCTTGCCCTCTCCCTCTCTCTTGCCCTCTCCCTCTCTCTCGCGCTCCCTCAAGTGATAAACATGAAAGTGGAAGCAGGAGAATAATATCG